CCAAGCTCAGATCGGGAATTTTGATCTCTTTAGCAACGGTCTGGCAATTAGCTGTATGCTTTTTATAAATGATTCACCCAAACCGTTATGTGTATGTACATGTGCCACATAATATTCCACACTTACCCCCATGGACATACAATAAGCATTAAAAGCTTGGGACGTGAATTCACCAGTATTATCTAGACATATAGTCTTTAATCACTTTGACTGGTGATGGCCTTATAATGAGTTTCCCTTATGAACATGCTACCCTTATTTCTTTGGGATAACTCTTATTTCTTTGGGATAACTCTTATTTCTTTCAGTGTGTACCCATTTGTATTTAATATCAATTTTCGCATCATACTTGATCCGGGATGGCCAAGCCGGTCGTGCCAAAGAGTGAATCTCTTGGTAAACTCTTTGTTTACCGTGGCATTAGATTCTATCACACTGGTCTTAGCACAGTAAAATGTCTTTTCTACTTTCTTATGAGATTTTATACTTTCTTATGGCCTTTTATACATTCTTACGGCCTTTTATACATTCTCATGGCTTTTAATCCTTTCTTATAATCTTTTATATTTTCATATGGCCTTTAATACTTCCTTATGGCCTTTTATACTTTCTTTCTTATGGCCTTGGGCGTTTTCAAATATTATTAGGAACTCTTTGTTTCTTTCGCCCTTAGTTTCAACATGGAAACCATTCATTCATATTTCAAAAAAAATAATCATATAAACAAATAATAATCATATAAAACAATCATGAGAATCTTGATGTCAAAATTATCTTGGTTATTCTAGGCAATCGGGAGTCTCATATGCCATAAAATCATCCTTGCTATGATCGAAATCAACTTCATTATCATAATGCACCAAATGGGCTTCCGGATTCTTCCCCTTGATACTCTCTTGATAGAGGTCAATAAAATGTTTGGGAGTCCGACATGTCTTAACCCAATGTTTCCCCATCCCACATCTATGGCAAACTGATTTTCTGGTCGGGTTTTACGACTTAATAGATGTACCACGGCCTCGGCCTCTACTACCGTGATACCCGCGGCCTCGGCCTTGTCCTCGATCGTAGGAGTGACAACGGCCACGTCCTTGCCATTTTCCACGTCCAAAGCCAGATTGATTATGCTCTTTTTGGACGTGGTTAACATCATTAGTCTCTTTTTACCAATGCAACCGCATTGGCTTCAGGGAGTGGGGCTGATCCCGGAGGTCTCAATTCACCATTTCTCATTAATAACTCATTATTTTGCTCGGCGAGCAATAAGCATGAGATCATACTTTCATATGTTTCAAAGCCCTTTCACGTTATTGTTGTTGCAACAATACGTTACTTGTGTGGAAGGTAGAAAAGGTTTTCTCAAGCATATCCTTTCCGGTTATCTCCTCCCCACACAGTTTCCAGATATAGATTATCTTAAACATGGCTGAATTATATTCATCCACGGACTTGAGGTCCTGGATTCAGAGATTCCTCCAATCATACATGGCCTTTGGTAATAGCACCGTCTTTTGGTGATCATATCTCGTTTTAAACTCATTTCAAAGGTCAAAGGGATTCTCAATTGTCAAGTACTGATCCTTGAGACTCTCCGCAAGGTAATGGCGAATAATCAATACTGCCTTATATTCATTTCGGGCTCGTCATTCTCATTCACAATACATTCACCGAGCCCTTGATATTTTAGGATAATCTTAGTATTCAGCGTCCATTGTAAATAATTATCTCCCGAGAGATTTAAGGGCAGCAAAATCCAAGTTATTGAGTTTAGACATATGCTTATTCTTAGGTTTCATAAAACCACTCATTACTTTGCCTGTTCCAACCGTTCGATAGAGAGGTAGCCTGCGCATCAGTTCGGGCGAGTATAAACTCGCCGAGCCGCATCCCCTTTTCTCCGAACAATCATCCCGGACAAGGTCTATGCATATTCTCATATTCTCATAATCTCATAATCTCATAATCTTATAATCTCATAATCTCATATTCTCATAATCTCATAATCTTATAATCTCATATTCTCATATTCTCATATTCTCGTAATCTCACAATCTCATAATCTTATACTTTCATAATCTCATACTTTCATGCCAAACGACATTCTCTTTTCATATCAAATATTCATGCGATTTTAAGCAAGCATCCTAGCATGCGATTTCTATAAGATCAAACACTCATCATGCCATTTCAAGCATATAATCTCATGATCTTAAGACTTTAGAATTTATCATGCAATTCTAGGTGTTCATGTTTGATCGATTTTATTTTAGAGAAAAATTAAGGTGATCATGCATTCATATTTGATTTTCATGTTAATCATATATTAGGATTTCATAAATTCATATTAATATAAACAAGCAACAATCCATATGAGAAACAAAGTTATAATCGATTTTAGGGTTACATGAAAAGCAGTCCAAAGAACAATCTCATATTTTACGGTTTCAAAATTTCGCATGAAAAGCAGTCCAAACAACAATCACATGTTTTAGGGTTTTATAATTTCATGTGCAAAGTACTCCAAACAACAATTTCATATTTTAGGGTTTTATAAATTCATATGAAAAGTACTTCAAACAACAATCACATGTTCAAGTTTTCATGGTTTTAAGATTATAAACATGAAACAATGGTTTTAGGGTTCATGTTGTTTACCTCTTGAACACCTATTGATTTCTGAATAGATTTGGACCGGGAGCTAAAGACCTCGGTAACTCAAGCAATACCCAGAATCGTCGTGAACCTTCTTGGAGTAGCAAGAGAACGTCGAGCTTCTTAGGTTTAAGGTTTAGGGGCGATTTTAGCTTTTAGCATTTAGAGTTTAAAAAATTGTGCTGATAACGTGTTGTAAACTAAAGAGAATAGAGAGAGAATTGAGATGCTTTATTCATTAGCTTATGTTTCTTTATATAGAGATTAAAATACAAGGGGTGATAAGTAAACTTTAATACAACAAGGAAAAAATTAAGCCTCCTCAACATAGGACGGACCGGACTTGTCATGGGCCATGCCGGACTGGGCTTGTTATGTAATGTATTTATAATAATAACTAGGTTTTGACCCGCGCTACAGCGCGGGGGAAATAATTACTTATATATAAATTTTAACGGATTATTAAAAATAATTTATTTAACCTTTTACTAAAAAAAAGAAATTTTAACGGATTAAAATATATTAAAGCTTAATTTTATTACAGTGAGTCGATTACAATGAATCATATATTTGTATAATAAGTTTAAATAGATTACCAAAAAAATAAGTTTAAATAAAATAATAAAAGGAAAAAGTGAGTAAATAATAATATATTGAGTTTTCCTACGATTAAAAAAAAGGTGAAAATTTTATAGCACGAAATAATATTTATCGATAAATTATTCAGTTTGACCATTTTTGTAGTAGAAGTAGGAATAGACGTAAAAATTACAAACTACAATATATTTTTTGAAGTACCAACCCGTAACATAATTCATATTGTAAAAACATTATTCACAACTCGCTTTACCATTATAATTGTGATTTTAAAAACTACCTGTGAACTATCTAAAATTTACGTAGTTTGATATATAATATTTTATCAATAAAACTTATGTCTCCAAATTTACATCTATGTATTGAAAACATTAGTTTTACTATTTTAAATCTAATTTTTTTATATATTTGAAACTTTTAATTATAATATTTTGAAACTTTTTAAAATTTTAATATGCTCATGTAACAATGGTTTTAATATTGGTCATACTTATAATGATTTTAAATCATTGTCCAAAATATTTAACCGAGTGTAATTGAGTATTATATGTCCGTTTTGAAAAATTCAAATTGCAACATATGCGAAAAAGTTAAAAAAAATTTAAACATTTTTCATATTTAGTATAATATTATAAATTTAAAATAAGATCAAATAAAAGTGAAAGAAGAATGATAATTGTTTCTAATATATTCTATTAAATTAGTTAGAAAAATATTAGGAAATCCTAAAATTAGTTATGGAAATAATGTAATCCTAAAATGAGATATGGAAAGTTCCGATGTATGTATCCGAATCCATTTTAATATCCAATTTTGAAGTATCCAATTGTTAAAATCGGATTAATTTTTTAATTTTGACTCGACCCGCATTCTATTTTGTACTTCTCTTTTACTAATATAGAGATATATTTTTACTTTTTTTGGAGACTCAGACCACCTCCAATGGAGGTGTTTAATATGTGCTTGTTCAATAGCTTAAGAATGTATGTATAGAATAAAATGCATAACATTGATAAAATTGCAAGGATTGTTGTTTAATTTGGGAGTTTAAGCAACAGATAAGCGATGCATAGGTGTCAAATTTTTATTGGGTGGAAGGAAAATAGAAAAAAAAAATTCTGAACTTTCTCTCTCTCTTTATCCGGAGTCTCTCTCTCCCTAGTTTCTCTCTCTTTCTCTCCATGGATGAAGAAAGCATGGAAAACGAATCAGTTTCTGGTAATTTGAGAGGGGTATACGTGTTATTTTCTTCTCTTATCTTCGTAATCATTTTCTCTCTTGATCGATGGTTTAATCGGTGGTGATAAAACTTCAAGATCGGATCCGAAATGTTGACTCAATCGAAGATCCAACTGAAGAATCAATGTGTGGTTTGGTCCAAGGGGGTTTATAAGAGCAGCTCAATCGAAGATCCAACTGAAGAATAAATTTTGTTTTTGTTTTAAACACTTCATTAAGAATCATACCATTGGATCACCAATATTTTTAACATCAAGATAAAGTTGCTTATGAATTTATTTTATAAAAATTAATGTAAAAAAATGTGTAAGCACCCTCACCATTGGAGATGCTCTCACATCAGTATAACCGATGGAGCTGCTCTTAAGTCACTTGCCAGTTCATCTAATCAAATAGATCACGTTTGAATCCAATGCGGCTACTGAGTACTTTAATTAGTGATTGAGCATAGCTCTACTTTTTTTTGGAGGTGGCTTTACCTCAAAAGTATCTACCTCGTACATACTGTAAGGTAAAGGGTAATGTAATGCTTTACATTTTTATGTGTAGATGACGAGTAAAATAAATTTAACCAGTTCAAATGAAACAAACGTATAAGTCCCAAATTTGACGGACTTCTGAGTTATCAGTATCATATGCTTTCAACAAAAGCAGAGTTTCAGTTTTTAAGACCTTCAGAATCAGCAGGAATGAAGTAGAACAGAATGAAATTTGTCGACCTTGCAAACTGGCTTTGTGGCTGAAGTACACAAACCAAAGTTATGAAAATCCATTCTTTCCTTTTAGGTTGATGACAGAGAGCTCTTGTTCAACATACTCTCCTGCAGGTATCGCCGGATATTTACTTGCCAGTGATGATTCCGCGAATTGTCCCAAAGGTTTCAGCTCTGCATCAGAGGCAATGTGAGCAAACAACTGCAAAAAAAAAAAAACAATTCTTTTAGATAAAACCAAAAGAGTTGAGCTTTTCATGAAACGTATAAGGATATTGGTTTTGACTTACAGTCGAGGAAACTCTCCACAGGCTTCGGTTTTGTTCTTCTGCTAATTTGATTGCATCTTTAGTCTTGCTCGTGACAACCACTTCGTGCATTCCGGCAATGCATTCTCCAGCAGTCAGCCATTCAATCTGGACACATGAAAACCAAATAAGATGTTAACACAGTTACTTCGATTACAAAATTCGAGATATTTTGCTAATCATCGACGCTTCAAGTAAACAAAACCCAGTAAACATATCGGTACCTGCTTTCCAGTTTGAATCAAGAGGCAACCTACGGGAACTTTAACCGCAACCTTTTCCCCATTCCTTAACCAAATATACAGACCAGGAAACCTACTTCTTCCATGAATTGTTAGAAAATTGAGGTCATAGTGATATCCTGCAAATATCGTCCCCTCCTCATTGTAACAGCTAAGATCACTTCCCGTTGGAGCAAGAAGATGAGGACCCTGAAATTCACAAGAACGACACACTTCAACTAAAGAAATTCAAACCATTCATCAAGAAGTTAAGAGGGCCAATAACATACCTGCTTCATGAGTGATGTAAATGCATCTTTAGGCAAACCAAACCCGATCGCTGCCATTTCAGCAACAACCTAAACAATTCAAGATAAACAAGAAACCATCACCACGTAGTTTATAATTAAACAAGCATCAGATTCCAAACTCTGCAGCAACGCCTCACCTCCACCGCGGATATCATCTTATAACCCCAAGAATCCATTACTTCTTTCCACTCTGGAAACCCTTCCGGTACAACAGGCTCAGAATTAAGCTCCTAAACCACACCACTTACAAAATTAACTACAAAATCCATACAAACACAACAACAAATCTCATTGAAATGTATCCAAAGATCACACCTTAAACCGCGTGTTCGAAGGCCGAGGACCAACTCTCCACATATATCTCCACTTATGATCTGGTCCTTTAGGAATATGTGGTTTGTATTCATCAGGCATAGTCTTGAACTTTTCTTGCATCTCTTCATCAACCAAACTTCTAGGAACTTCAACTCCCTCTGGTGTCACACCAACCTATTCAAAAATCAAAACTTTTCAAACAACAACACTAAGAGTATGTTCCCAAATTACCTCATGTGCCCTAATCTTACCCTAATTTTGAAATTGAACGAGAAGGGCTAATCAAAGATTCGATTTTGATAAGAGAATCACAAAGAAAACGAACCTGATAGTGAAGATCAGGTCTCTGTTGCAATCGTTTGAAATCATCGGACTTTTGGAAATAAGTCTCCATCATATCGATGAATCGATCGTTGTCTTGAGCGCTACATCGTGGATCTTTGACAAGGAGGGCTCCAGTTTCTCTAAGGATCCGACTCACTTCTTGGCATGAAGCGAGGAGATCGGTTCTCAATTCGTCGCCGGAGAATTCAAGGTAACGAGATAGATCTACGACGGGTAATTCCATTTACAGACAAAAGAGAGGAAAGAGACAAGAGTTGTAGTAGTAGTAGTCACCGGTTCTGTCTCTTTGTGTTGTTGTTGTGATATGGCGGGAGATTGAGATGGTGGAGGAGTGTAGATTTGATGCATGTAGTAGACGACGACTAGACGTCACTCCATTGTTGTTCATTGTATCTGATAGACAAAATGGTTCATAAAAAAATTGTTACTTTTAGAAAGTAAATAGTATTGAAAATTCGTTTCTACTAATTTCTTTTTTATCTTTGTTTTTAGGGTAATACATATAAATATATAATAACCATTCAATATTTTCGAAGAAAATACATAAGTTTTACGAATATAATTTATTCTGATTTTATTAAAATTCTTTATTTATAAATTCAAAATTTAAAGGATAAAATAAACTAAATTCGAAAATAGATTTATTTATTTTATTTTATTTTCTAAGATAATGATAGGTTATTAAAATAAATACTAAATCTTATAAAAAATTATCTTTTAGATATTATCAAATCTTAGACTATATATAAAGCCAAACAATTCCACAATTCTCTGAACGTATTCAACTATATTTTTTCTGAAAAAAATGGCAAAGTAAAGGTTCATTATTATTATGTTTCTACATGACTTTGTTATGAATCAATCGTGTTTCTTCGTTGATTTTTTTTATAATCTTATTTTACAAAAATTTTAAAAAGATTTTTACGTAGAGATTGCTTTGTGAGTAAAGATGTGAATATGTTTGTTGTTATGATTATGTTTATTAACTTTGACCTTATTACGTTATTGTTTTGTCTTATACTATACCATATGTTTATATAATGAAGATTTATGTACATTATGGCTATGATTATATTTATACACTTTTTGACTTTGTTTACGTAAATTTATAAATATAAAAGTTACATAAAGATTACATATTTTGGGAGGTGTATATGTACGTAAATTTGTTATGGTTATGAACATGTATATCATAGTTCAACGTAAGTTTAATATTTATATATTTATTGACTAATATATATAACATACAATTACTGATTGTTCTAATATAATATGTTTTGTTTTGTTTATGCTTTATTGACTAGAGATGAAGAATTCAAAAACCGATTGAGTACGTGATGGAAATAGTAAAGCTTATCGAAGGAAACAAAAATCATGACTCGATGAAAACAAAGATGGTCTCATGTATCAAAGTATTGAAGAAAGAATACTTTGATTCATGTATCATAAAACCTAGTTATGATATATGAGATATGCATGATATGTTCAATATATTTGAAAATAATTCCCAAAGCTTTTCAAAAGCAAACAAGGTAAAACTATATATGTTTGTTATAAACTTTTAATTTTATGAATATATTTCGATAGTTATTTTCTTTGTTGGGAAAACGAGTTCAAGACTACTTGCAATAAAGTAGAATTAGATTATTCGGTCGAAATTTTAAGTGTACCTCATGCAAAAGATAATAATTGCATACCGGTAAAGAAATAGGAAGAACCAAGAATGTTTTGAAATCAAGTCAATATGATCTCATTTGCTTTAGCATATCAAAGTATAGTTAATTGACTAGATTAATGGTTAAAGATATACATGTATATTTCGATACTTTGACAATACTTTGATCTGCTAAAGCAAATCGATCATATTGACTTGATTTCAAAACATTCTAGGTTCTTCCCGTTTTTTCACCGGTATCCAATAACAAATCAAAACTTTTGATTTTTGTATCAATGTCCTTGATTTTTGGGGTACACTTATTTTCTTTTGCAGGAGTTTCTTTTAAAATTTCGACCGAAGAATCTGATTCCACTTTATTGCAAGTAATCTTGAACTCGTTTTCATTAGTTGTAACGACAATAACTCTATCGAAATATATTCACAAAATTAAAAGTTTACAACAAACATATATAAGTTTACCCTACAAATATGATTCTGATTGGATCACCTTACAAAAGAGAACAAATTACGAAACGTACGTAGAACATCAATGAGATCAGCTATAAACAAAACCCCATGGTGCCAGTAAAAATAATGTACCAAAAGCATATATGAAACACAACGCAATCACTTATGCTTTGTTTATACATTTCTCTTTCGTGTAGTTTAAAATTGCAACTCTCTGAAACACTTAAATGAGGTAAGCTACAAAATGTTTGGTATAAAAACATCTGCAAGAGTTAAAAAAATGAATCGTATCATCATCACAAGAGTAGACACATTGGTATCTATCTATAAGACTATAAACCACGAAACTTTAAAGAAGCAATTACTGGCAATAAGAGCACAAGCTTTTCCTTCTCTTTTATCTGCTAGCAATGTAGAAGAAACTAGTTAAAAAGTAAAACCAAAACAATACTCTTTACTAATCCTACGCAAATATAAATCTCAATCATGTCTGATTGATAGATATATCAATTAAGAAGGATGGTGTAATGATACAGCCACAAAAATATAGCTTTTTTAGGCTTATGCATTTGCAGTTCTTCACTGGGAAGATCCAGATGCCGTGCGCTGCTCGTATTCGCCTTGTTCTGCTTTACTGAATTCCTCGAGCAGTTCACGCTGTCTCTGAGTTATATTTCTGCCAAAGAACATTAACAAACATAAGTGACTGCGATGTGGCGTTTGACTAAGTGTATCATTTCCAGGCACTATTTACTCGGGGGGTTTTGGGAGACTTACGCAGGGATGCTGACGTTGAAATGCACATATTGATCCCCAAATTTCGTCGACTTTCTTGCTCTAATACCTGTTTGTATCATACACAAATATAAATAAACAGGAATCTGTTTAACACTTGGTTTCTCAATCTATTCCCAGCTTCCATATGTATTTGAGAAACTTATGTTTTGGTGTCTTGCTCTTAATATCCAGTGAGACAGTAATTAGCTCAAGTTGAGAAGATCATATTCTAAAATTTCTCTTATCTTTCAGGTATTCTGCAGCTGAGCTTATCAACAGAAGCAAAAGAGCTCACCTTTACTTCTTAGCACTACTTTATGACCAGGTTGGGTTCCAGGACGGACCTACAGCAAAAGAGTTTCCAAGTTAGATTGCTGGAAAAGTTTCAACAAGTGGGAACAAAACCCAAAAAAAAACTGTAGTTAACTATCATTTAGCTAGCAAGCAAAAATCTGATCTTCTTTTTCATCAAAAATGAAGACAATCTGAAGTTTAGAATCAAAGCATTTATGTTTCATTGCATGCAGAATGCTATTTCACATGTAGAGCATGTTCAGTTTTCTGGCAAGCATGTTTGACCGTTGATAGAACTAGAGTTAAAATCTTAAAGCATTTTAAAAATGTGCAAATTTCAGAAACCTTCACGACAACATCACCAGTGAGGGTTGGAACTTGAATGGTTCCTCCAAGAATAGCCTGGCAAAAGATGGAAAATATACTTAGTTATCATGAACAGTACAAAACCGGTAAAAGAACTCACCGATACTGCACCAGAAGTCCAAAATAAATGCTGAAGGCAAAAGCAACTGAAACTTAAAAGACAGCATTGACAAGATCATGGTATTTCACCTGGGTAACACTGAGAACTGCATCCACATGAATATCCGATCCTTCTCTGCGGAACACAGGATCTTCACGGACCTAAACAAAAATACAGACAAGGTATTGAGAACACAATCAAGTGATTAACTATGACTGTCCATTAGAAAGTTGACTTCAGAAAAGTCACCTTGAGAGTAACATAAAGATCTCCAGGCTGGTCACCATCAGGATCAGCCCCACCCACTCTTGCCACCTTTAATGTATCACTATTGTCAACCCCTGAGAGATGAAATAAATGTGAGATTCAAGTGATGAAAAACTACACAAATTTTTTTATTACCTACAATCCGGAAAGGAAACTTACCTGGATCGATATTGACTTTCACTGACTTCTGTCCTCGAACCACTCTAGCTCCTCTACAGGATTTGCAAATACTCTAGCAATGTCAACGAAACAAAATGATTAGAAATTCAATGGTTATAGAAAGTAGAAACCTACTAAAAGATCAAATATTAGCTATAAATCTAACAGAATGGTGTCTGTCTTCACGTATATGTAGACACATACACAGATAAACACTATACATGATAAATAGTGTGATTTTCAAAATATTTGACATACAGAGAACGTTTGACCAGCTCCACCACACTTCTGGCAAGTTCTTTGGATGCTTAATATACCCCTTCTCATTGTTGTCTGAAAACGTAAGTGGAGCACTTAAAAACACAATACAAACAGAAATTATAATTACATGTTCAAACTAAAATTTTGTAACATAAGACTGACCATCCCAGAGCCATTACAGCCTTTGCATTTTTCACGTTTGGTACCAGGAGGAACACCTTGTCCACCTACATGTGAAAGGAAGAAAGAAAAAAACAATTAGTAACTTGAGAGTGAGATAATAACAACGTAAATTACATTCAACAAATACTTTATACGTACCACAAGTATTACAAGCCACCTCGGTTTGAAAATTCACAGTTTTGGAGCATCCTTGAACAGCTTCCATGAAAGAAAGATCAAGCAAAACCTTACAACAGTAAAGAAGGGAAGAAACAAGAAACTTATTAATCTTGGATGACAAAAATAAATTGATGGGAAAAAAGCAGATGGTAATACCTTGACATCTTGACCTCCAACATCTTGCCTGAACATGTTGAAGATCTGTTTTTCAAAAGAATTAGTGTGTAAGCCATGGATGTTGATTAGTTAGCCATTTCCATTCAAAAGGAAATATGTTTTTACTATCTTTGCAGGAATTATCAACAATTCTAAACAGAAAGCTATCTAATTAGTAAAAAATATTCGTATGAGTGGAACCAATTAAATGAAAACCAAGAAATAAAAGTTTTACATCGCCATTGAAGTTCCCGAAGATATCAAATGGGTTAAACCCTTCACCACCACCACCGAAGCCTTGATCATTTGGAAACCCACCACTAGCATTTTGCTCAAATGCTTCATGCCCAACCTGCAGATATGACAACAAACTTACATCACAGCTGAAATAGTTAATCAAAGGAGCCATGTTTGCTTGCTCTAACAGAATCAAAGGAAATATTATGATGCCTATTTACCTGGTCATAAAGGTCACGCTTCTCCTTATCTTTCAAAACCTGAGCCAAAAAATCCCAAACCACAATTCCCTTCAGAATAAGATTCTAACAGATCATATCAAATGATACCATGTAACAAGTCAAACTCACTTCATATGCTTTCGAGACCTCCTGGAACTTCTTCTCAGCTTCTGGGTCATCTTTATTCATATCAGGATGAAGTTTCTTAGCAAGCTGTAAAAAGAAACAAGCAATAGCATCAATCACTAAGAAACCAAAAAGTCATATCAGATAAACATATTAAATCTCAACCAAAATATCCCTACCCCATAATAAGCCTTCTTGATTTCACCTTCTGGTGCATTCTTATTCACACCAAGAACTTCATAGTAGTCCTTAGCAGACATAAACGTCGAACCTGGTATTCCAAAAACCACAATAAACATCGAAAACTCAATCTAACAACAACTGTGAGAATCAATGAACCTCTGATCCTACCTGTTCCATGAAATGACCTTGTTGAGCCAAAATTAGTATTAAAACCTCCAAAATTGATCCATTTCCGATCATGCCCTACATTACAATATCACAATGTTAAAACCCTCAATGACACTCAATAACACACAAACAAATTCATAAAATTCACACTCTCTTATGATCCAATTACCAGATTTTGAAGCGTAATCTCCAAGAACTTTGGCATGATTCCCAACGCCTGTATTCAATCTCCTATAACTCCCAATACACACTCCCCTAAGTTTCTGCAAATCAAGAAAAAAGTTAACAAATTTGAAATCAATTAAGAGATAGATACAAAGAGAAACAAAAATTATAAAGAGGAGAACGAACCTGATTGCCTAAATCTTGTAGAAGCGATGATGAGATACATCGACGAGTCAACAAACGAAGAACCTTTGCGCCATTGGAAGGAACCATTTTTCTTCCTCAAATCTTTATAAAGGTTCGATCTTTTAGCTTATACTCAAATTCTACTAAGTGGGTTTAAGTTCAGGGATTGAGACAGAGCAGCCAAAGTTAAAACCCTAGCAAAAACCCTGTTTTGTTGTTGCTTCAGAACTGTGTAGAAGAAGCAATTTCTGTTGTTCGCCACACAATACCGGGTTTGACCTTTTCTTCTTACTCAACCCACCCACCTTATCCGACCCAAGTCAACCCGACCCGGCCTTTCCTCTGTTTCCCTCGAACAGGCCCATAAGCCCATTAAAGAAACAGAACAGAACTATAGTTGCCTTCGTCTTTGTAACTGTAACTTCGCCGTCGTTGCGCAGTCTCACCGAGAAATCGCCGGAAATATGTAATTGCAGGTACCATTGAGTCGATTCACATACTTTTTCTGATGTAAAGTTTCAATCTTTTGTCGTTTATTTACATAAAACCTCACAAATTGCTTTGATTTTTCATAAAAGATGCAAACTTTGACCAATTAAGCTGTAAATTTCAAAACTTTAAGCTTTGGTATTGTCTTCAGGTTACGCTACAATGCGGTGGTTGCTTCAGGGAAGGGTTAGTTTGTGTAAATACAAAGAAAGGTTTGATTTTTTTCAGCAGAGATGTGGTTTGGTTAATGTTAAGTTGAAATGGGTGAAAGATAAAGAACTTGATGCTGTTGTGATTCGTGAAAAGCATCTTAAAGCAGTGTGTAATCTTGTTTCTGTTATTTTGTCTTCTCCTGATTCGAGACTACCTATCTTTAAGCTTTTGCCTCACCGTGGTCAGTTAGGTTTGCCTCAAGATGTTAAGGTTTCAGCTTTTGTTCGGAGATATCCCAATATTTTTGTGGAGCATTGTTATTGGGATAGTGCAGGTACTCGTGTTCCTAGCTTCGGTTTAACGCGTGAGGCGATGGATCTTTATTGTGAAGAAGCTGATGTTTTGGAGGTGAATAAAGGGGATGTTCTAGTAAGGTTGTGTAAACTTCTTATGCTTACATGTGAAAGAACACTTCCTCTACATTCCATTGATCATCTCAGATGGGATTTAGGTTTGCCGTTTGATTATCGAGATTCATTGATTCATAAGCACCCGGATTTGTTTTGTTTGGTGAAGTTGTCTAGTGACCTTGTTGGTTTGAAACTGATGCATTGGGATGATAGCCTTGCTGTTTCCCAAATGAAACTGAGACAGGACGTTGGAAATAATGATCATATGGCCTTCCCGGTGAAATTTACGAGAGGGTTTGGGTTGAAGAGGAAGAGTATGGAGTGGCTTCAAGAATGGCAGAGACTCCCTTATACGTCACCTTATGTTGATGCATCTCATTTGGATCCAAGAACTGATTTGTCTGAGAAGAGAAATGTCGGAGTGTTTCACGAACTTCTTCATCTAACAATTGGGAAAAAGACGGAAAGGAAAAACGTTAGCAATCTTCGTAAACCGTTTGCACTTCCCCAGAAGTTCACCAAAGTATTTGAGCGTCATCCGGGTATTTTCTACATTTCTATGAAGTGTGATACACAGACAGTGATCCTTAGAGAAGCATATGATAGGCGGCATCTCGTTGAAACGCATCCTCTCGTTGAAATCAGGGAAAAGTTCGCCAACATGATGAATGAAGGGTTTCTGGATAGAAGTCGTGGACTGTATCCGAGATCTGTTGAGGCTCATTTGGGGAAGAACAGTGTCAAGACAATTTATCCGGTTTGGTCAGAAGAAGAAGAAGAAGAAGAGTCGGACAATATATCTCGATATGACTCTGATTGTCCTGTAGTTGAAGAACATAAACGGCTGTTTTAGTAGTGAGTAGGGTATTCTGTTCCAGTAGGAACAAATGAAAACATAAGTTTTGTTACAGTAGGTGTGAGAAGTTAAAAGAACATTCTGCATCTAACTGTAGCAGCCTGAGCTCCCGGCATCAAATGGATTCTCCATCTAAATTCAGTCAACTGAATCTGATACTTCATCTTTCCCACAATGATCCATTCTGGGATGTTATAAACATAAATCACCTTTGATGGAACGCGATAGACAACACTCTCAATCGAGCTTTTAGCATTTTCGCAGGCAAACAAAAGCTTGTTTTTATCGGCGCTGGTGCTCCAAACCCGCAACAAGGACATAGCATTGCACTTTGGATTTGGCATGTATGATGTGTGCATATACACCTTTATCAGTCACTCTGAGTCATGACATCGCGTTTTCCGGAAGATGATTATTGGTCTGAGGCATATATTGGATCGTTGATAGTGAGAGGTTGTTCTATATTTGTCATTTAACAACAATCAACTTAAAGACATAAGATGGTATATAGCTCTGTCGTCACATTAGATTGGTATTGAACATGTGATAGGTCCAATCAACAGCTTATAAAAGCATAGACCGTACATATTTTTCTCTATATATTTCATCAAAAAATGGCACGAGTATTTTAGACATAAATCAAAAATATAACATAATCTATCTAAAACCCCTAACAATCATAAGATTAGACAATATATTATTTTAAAATTTAGGAGATAAACATAAATCAAAGATGTAACATAATCTATCCAAAACCACTAACAATCATAAGATCACATATTTTATGTCTCTATCTTAATCAATATCGGTTTATTTCGGTTATGTTCTCATCGACATAGGGCTAGGTTTCAAAACTTAGAAACTTTCTAAACATGGAATGGATAAAGTCAAATGAAATAAGAAAATTGATCAAGAAAATAAATGAATACAATATATGTTTAATTTATATAAAAAAGAAGAAAAATACGGAATATGAACATGTTAATCCATTTGACATGTATGACACAATGTTATCATATCAAATCGGACATTTTATTAGAAATTAACTCAAGTAATAAAGAGATTGCGAAAAAATGTTACTAAGAGCGAAGAACAAAGAAATAAAACCTTAAAGAACTTTAGAAGATGGAGTCGTTGGTTACAAGGCCCAAAGCTGAAATGAGTAATACAAGTATATGATTGATTTACATATAATAATTAGTTAAACAAATTACATTCGAATTAGAGAAAAGAAATGTAGAATATATACCTAGTTATGACGTAACGTTATTTGTGTCTCTAGTACTAGGCATGTCAATCGGGCTAGCCCGGCCCGGCCCGGCCCGAAACCCGTAAAGCCCTCATATATGTAAGCCCGGCCCGGCCCGGCCCGAAAAATTTCCGAGCCTATATTTCAAAGCCCGGCCCGGCCCTAACAGGGCTACAGGGCTTTTCGGGCTTTTTCGAGCTTTATTTACCGATAAAAAAATCAATTTCTAAGTTTATAATAGTTTTTTAAAAACTATATTTAAAGGTCTACTATTAAAATAATGCATCAAATTTTAAATAACTTATCAATATTCAATAAAACTAACTTAATTTAAGAGAAAAAAAAATAAAAGCCAAATAAATTATTTACACTTTAACCCAATAAAACATGGAACTAAAATACTTTAAAGTATAACATAGAGTCAAAATTTAATAGATATTTTGATGATTTCAAAATCATGATACTTATATATATTTAGTTTTAGCTTTGTATAAATATTTTAAAAGTAATAAGTAAGACTAGTAAGTAAATATGAAAACTATAACATTAATCAAATCTTTTAATCAAACTAAAATATTCAAAAAATTCAAAATATATTTGTATAAGGGCTTTTCGGGTCGGCCCGAGCCCGACCGGGCTAAGCCCAAAAAACCCTTTAGCCCGAATGGGCTTAGCCCAAAAGGCCCGGTTTTTTCTGGACATATATATTTAAGCCCGAGCCCGATGTTTTTCAGGGCCGGGCCAAACTAGCCCGCGGGCTTTAGCCCTAATTGACATGCCTATCTAGTACCAATGTACCATGTCTCTTCGGTGGGATTCGAAAGGGGGATTGTATTACATACATGAGAATGATGAGATGACATGAACATCATCGATTGATCTTTCATGGATGTCGGAACATTATAAGTCACATTAGCATCACCAGGTGGTATGTACGAATTATATGTCCCATGTATGTTGGTTGGTGACATCTTATGTGATGTGGTTGACATGTATAGTGGTAGTTGTTGTGGAGGGTACGTTTGGTTATGGAAGAATCGTTGTCCACCGTGAGGATACGGATATGCATATTGAGGATGATTGTAAATCCAAGTACTTGAAGGATTGAATCGCGAATTGTTATTATGGTAATACTCACCACAACTAGTATTACCACCACAATTGTATCGCATGTTGTTATTGTGATATTCTTGCGGGTAACGTTCTTGCTGACTAGGAACCGTAAACATAACATTTGGTAAGAAGGGCTGATATGTGTTGCTCAAAGATGGTTTGCTTTGTTTGGAGAGACGACTCTCTTCCATAAGCAACATCGAGCGAGCTTTGGTGAAGGAAGGAAATGGAGACTTGTGTTTGATTACATTAAGGATGTAATCATATTTTTCTGTCAAACCGTTGAGTAAGTGCATGACAAGAACACGTTCGGAGATAGGTGAGTCGACGTTTGTCAAAAGGTCAGAAAGTGACTTTAGCTTATGACAATACTCATGTACTGAGAGATCACCAATCGTTAAAGTGCGCAATTCGTTTTCAAACTGAATTGCACGAGCCTCCTTGTTATCGCGAAATAGATTTTCTAGAGAAATCCATAAGTCTCGAGCCGTGCACCCGGCTTTAATGATGGTGTCAAGGAGAGAATCAGTGATGGTTCCATATATCCACATCTTGACGAGTCCATCACGTTCTTTCCACCTTTTCTCGGTTATTGGAGTCGATTCTAACAACTTAAATATAAAATATGTGGAATCAAATTAATTTAACCGCTACCAATCCTACCATGATTCCATGTCCTTGCACCGGACATATAAAAGCACTGTCTCACCAAAACCTCCATAATTCCGACCAGATTTCCGATGTAATTGGTTCAACATTTTACAAAAGCTTTCCACAAATGCAGATCAACTCAAGCTAAAAAAAATTTTAGATTCTACGATTTGTGTCTTAATTGGCGAATTGGAGCCGTGTTTAAAAAAATGTATTTGAATTGAAATCAGCACAATATCAAAATTACGATCTAAAAATAAAAGTTTGAAAAAAAAAAAATTGCCTTTTCCCACAATTGCTCGAGCTGTAATCATTTGCAGCATTATACTTTTCCTCCAGTTTCATTTTCCTGTAAAAGAAGAAAAAAGGAGAATCCTTGTAGCTCAAGGAGAGACAAAAGCAGCTTCACCATAATCACATTCTTTACTTCAAGTCATAAACAAGCTATACGTGCTTAGTTTAATCAAGAATAAATACTTTTCTTCCACAACTAGGTTTCCTCCTCTTCTTAAAGATTCTTTCCCTTTTAAATCTCCCTTGCAACCCAAGAAACCAACAAAACCCACAATGAGAAACACCAGCAAACTGGTCGTGCACGTGGTTGATGCTCAATGTCTTATGCCTAGAGATGGCCAAGGCTCAGCAAGTCCGTTTGTAGAAGTTGATTTCCTTAACCAGTTAAGCAAAACAAGAACTGTACCCAAAAGTCTTAACCCTGTTTGGAACCAGAAACTCTTCTTTGATTACGACCAAAGTGTGTTAAGCTTTCATAACCAACACATTGAAGTCTCTGTCTACCACGAAAGAAGACCAGTTCCTGGTCGGAGTTTCCTTGGTCGAGTCAAGATTCCTCTTTGTAACATTGTTTACAAGGACGACCAAGTGTACCAGCGCTTCACTTTGGAGAAGAAATGGCTTCTTTCTTCTATTAAAGGTGAGATTGGTCTCAAATTCTATATTTCATCATCAGAACAAGACCAAACCTCTCCTCCTCCTCCTCTACGTACTAAACCTTACACTAGCCCAACACAAGTCTCTGCCGCTGGAACAGAAGAAGATAGTACTGCTGATTCGGAAACAGAAGATTCTCGAGAGAGTTTTGCATCAGCAGAGCAAGAAGATCTTACTGATTTGGCCAGCGAGTGTGTGAAAGAAGTTAAAGAACCAGTTCAGAAACTACAAAGACAAGAAGTTTTTGCTCGGCCAGCACCAATGCATTCTATTCGTCTGCGGTCTCGTGAGAACCCGCATGAAGCCAAGAAACCTCTATCTCGTGGAGCTAACCAGCCTCACCCTCAAAACACCAACCACTTGCAGTCATATGGTGACAGTACTGACCTAGATGACTTTAAGGTGAAAGACATGAACCTGGATCTTGGAGAGAGATGGCCAAACACAAATGTTGGAGAGAGGTTTACGGGAACTTACGATCTTGTGGAACAGATGTTTTATCTCTATGTTCGAGTTGTTCGAGCTAAAGAACTTCCACCTGGTTCAATCACTGGTGGATGTGATCCTTACGTGGAGGTCAAGCTAGGGAACTACAAGGGAAGAACAAAACATTTTGATAGGAAGACAACTCTTCCTGAATGGAACCAAGTTTTTGCATTTACCAAAGAACGGATTCAATCATCAGTTCTTGAAGTTTACGTGAAGGACAAGGAAACGTTAGGTCGAGATGATATTCTTGGAAAAGTTGTCTTTGATTTGAATGAGATCCCAACAAGGGTTCCACCAAATAGCCCTTTGGCTCCGCAGTGGTATCGATTAGAAGATTGGAGAGGAGAAGGCAAAGTAGTACGAGGAGAGATAATGGTTGCTGTGTGGATGGGAACTCAAGCGGATGAAGCTTTTCCTGAAGCATGGCATGCTGACTCAGCTTCTGTTCATGGAGAAGGCGTGTTCAACATTAGATCCAAGGTATATGTCTCTCCTAAGCTATGGTACTTAAGAGTCAATGTTATCGAAGCTCAAGACATGATCCCAAGTGACAGAAACAGACTTCCTGATGTTTTCGTCAAAGCCAATGTCGGAATGCAAACTCTTAAGACCAACATATGTCGCATGAAGACAACAAATCCACTTTGGAATGAAGATCTTGTCTTTGTAGTTGCTGAGCCATTTGAAGAACAGCTAGTGATCTCCGTTGAAGACCGCGTTCACACGTCCAAAGATGAAGTTATTGGCAAAATTAGCCTGCCTATGAACGTGTTCGAGAAGCGATTAGACCACCGTCCAGTCCAATCCCGTTGGTTCAATCTTGATAAACACGGTACCGGAGTTCTTGAGCCAGACACAAGAAGAAAAGAACATAAGTTCTCAAGCCGGATTCACTTACGAATCTGTCTTGAAGGAGGCTACCATGTAATGGACGAGTCAACAATGTACATAAGTGACACAAGACCTACGGCTAGACAGCTGTGGAAACAGCCAGTGGGAATGTTAGAGATTGGGATTCTTGGAGCAAAAGGGTTAGTGCCAATGAAGTTGAAAGATGGTAGAGGTAGCACAAATGCTTATTGCGTGGCTAAGTATGGGCAAAAATGGGTGAGAACTAGAACCATTATTGACACATTAAGTCCTAGATGGAACGAGCAGTACACATGGGAAGTATATGATCCTTGTACTGTCGTTACTCTAGGAGTTTTTGATAATAGTCATTTGGGTTCAGCACACTCCGGAACTGTAGATTCTAAAGATGCAAGAATCGGAAAGGTAACTTTTTATTTCTCTATAATCTTAGGGTGACTAATCATAAGCTATTAAACCTTTTGGTTCCATATTCTTACAATTTATTTCTTCTGAAACTAGAACTTGTTTATTTTATTTTATTTTGGTTCGGTTTGGTTTAAAATTATTCGCAGCTCATATGGTTATGAGCAAAATATTTGTTAAAAATATAAATAAGTAAAACAATAATAACTCATATTATATATTTTAGTATAATTATATGACTTTCTTATATATAAATGTTTATAACTTAATTATTTTAAATTAATTAAATTTGGTTATAATTATTTTTGTTACTTTTCGGTTTAGAAATGGGTTTGGTTTTTCTTTTTAAGATAACATTTTAGCTCGGTTTGGTTATTATGGCCACCGTAGAACTGATTTATTTTATTTTACTTTGGTTCGGTCTGGTTTAAAATTATTCGTAGTTCATATGTTTTTTAGCAAAATCTTAATAAAAATGCAAATAAGTAAAACATTAATATCATATGAACTTCTAGTACTGTATATAATTTATTACAGTTTAATAATATTAAAATTGGTTTATTGAGTTTCGATTTGGTTTTAAGTATTTTTGTTACCTTTCTCGGTTAGTAATTGGGTTTGGTTATTAGGGCCATCCATACAATAGTCATACGTAGAAGATGCATTAAGTTTCACTTCTAACTTTGTTGTGACTTCGAAACTCTTGGAACAGGTTCGAATAAGGCTGTCTACACTAGAGGCACACAAGATCTACACACATTCATTTCCACTACTTGTTCTTCAACCTCACGGCCTCAAAAAAACAGGCGACCTACAAATATCTGTCCGTTTTACGACCTTATCATTAGCCAACATCATCTACAACTATGGCCACCCACTTCTCCCCAAAATGCACTATCTTTTCCCTTTCACGGTCAACCAAGTAGATGGCTTAAGGTACCAAGCCATGAACATTGTTGCAACCCGCCTTGGCCGAGCTGAGCCGCCACTAAGGAAAGAGGTCGTCGAGTACATGTTGGATGTAGACTCTCATCTATGGAGCATGAGAAGAAGCAAAGCCAACTTTTTCCGCATAATGTCACTTCTTTCAGGTTATTTCTTGGTCGGGAAGTGGCTTGAAGATGTTTGCAACTGGAGATACCCGGTTACTTCGGTTCTTGTCAATGTCTTGTTCTTCATTTTGGTCATGTACCCTGAGCTGATTTTGCCCACAATGTTTCTCTACATGTTCTTCATCGGGTTGTGGAACTTTAGGTCTAGGCCAAGACACCCTCCTAACATGGATATGAAGCTCTCATGGGCCGAGGCTGTTGGCCCTGATGAGCTTGATGAAGAGTTTGACACGTTCCCAACGTCTCGGTCGCAAGAGATGGTTCGGTTGAGGTATGACCGGCTCAGAAGCGTGGCAGGTAGGATTCAGACTGTTGTTGGAGACATTGCAGCCCAGGGAGAGAGAGTTCAGTCACTTTTGAGCTGGAGAGACCCCAGGGCTACAAGCCTCTTCATCTTATTCTGCTTGGCTGCGTCTGTGGTGCTTTACGCAATGCCGTTCAAAGCAATAGCACTGGCTAGTGGGCTATACTATTTAAGGCACCCAAAGTTTAGAAGCAAGTTACCTTCTCTGCCAAGTAACTTCTTCAAGAGGTTACCTTCTCGTACAGACAGTCTTCTTTGACCTAAACTCTTTCTTGTGTTACAATAAAATGACTTTGTTTTAACTTTTTTTCTACTCTCAGTATACAATAATGTATGTTACGAACAGAAAATTACCAATAAAATAATGATACTATAAACGTCATAGAAGCAATATTAATGTTTTGTGTTCTAGTTTCGTCTTACAAAACAATGTCAGGTTTTTTTGGGCAAACACAAAACAATGTCAGGTTTGTAAAACAATAACCAAAGATAAAAAAGATAACAAAACACTGTTCTGTTTTTACAAAACTAGTTAAAATCAGAGAGAGACAGTACTAGCTCCGTTGGAACCAGCTCATCTGATAAGTGTCAGACCAGCTATTAATGGATTGAATTTGGCACTAAATTTGGAGAAATCAAACTCTAATTCCTCAATGCGGTCTAAAGCAGTGACATTGAACTCAAAATTTCATTTGCCTCATTCCCAAGAACCATTCCTACAACTATAAACCCTAACAAGAAAAGCTTCCTCGTTGGTCTTAACTCTTTCTTAGAGCTGAGAACGAAGAAAGAATGGTTAAAAGTAGAAAGACTTAAAAAACCAGGATATAAAACAAATGTAGAAACTCGTAGTGTGTTACTGAAAGAATCGATCTTTGTGTTCAGCTTGTAATAAGGAAGAAGAAGAAAAAGAGAAGGAGACATAGCAGAGAAAAGCAGTTAAGAAAGACTGTTTTTAAAAAGATGTTTCTTGTCTTAAACCAAATTTCTCAACATAATGTTCATAAGATGGGAAAATAAAAAATAGGGTTTTTTTTACTTCTTATGTGGCAAGTTCATTCATCACTTAGTTGCTCTACCATTAGGAATAGAGAATAGGACAATGGGATTAGAAGATTTGACAAAAAGGCACATCACATCTGAAATAAACTTTGCTCTCAGATTCCTCATATTCGAATCACCAAGTGGCATGTTTCCTTCTTCGTGTTAGGATTCACAAAATCAGCAACTTCATCATCATCTTCCAGCTGGTTGAGCAAACCAAAAAAAAAAAAAACAAAAGAGATCAGTGATCTTGAGAGAGATATAACAATAATGTAAAGATGTATTCACCAAGAGCTTAACTCTTCTTGGTGATAAGATAATCAAACTCTGTTAATGTGAGATTCACCAATTCATTGGTGTCAGGAAGCCATGTGAGCTTCAGCTTTGTAGTCTTTATAGATCCTTGGTGATTCAGAACACCAGATAACGTAGTGACATGACCCTTCAAGTTCTTTGTGATTTCCTTTACTATGGTGTTTCCCCAATCCATCAAAGTTACTTGCTCAACAATAGATATTACACTCGGATCAGCTTCCTCCATCCAAATTCTCTTGCTGAAAGTGCTTGCCTTTTCTCCAGCACCTTCAAATTTCTTGTGCTTTTGTATTAAGCGAACAAATAGCTCATCAAGACCACCAGTTTAGGTAAATAGTACACGGTGCTCTGCAGTCACAGCCGTGTTCTAGGGCAGGATCAATTGTTCTTTTACTAATATACCAAAGTTTTTCCCATTCCATCAAATTTATATAGCCCCCTGGACAAGTAAAATTTCAACATAATTGTTATTACATATCATAACTGTTGGCTGTCTTTAGACATAGGGGCAGCCACATGCTTCCTCGAGCCCTTCTTTGCATATGTTGCTAAAACCTTGTTAAGCAGCTCATTGTACTCTTTTAATACATATGTTTGTTACCTTATCGACTAACATATCAGAGAAGAACAGTGGTTCCACTCAATTTCCGCCTAAATCAAGAATTTGAAGAAAAGGAATAAACTTTCAGAGAAAGAAGAAGAAGTATTGAGAAAGAGAAAAACAAAAGTACCCGTCGAAGAAGACGTAAGAAGCGACGGTGGCTGCGGGCGACTGAGGAATCAATAGTTACCGGAGAGGCTGAGAGACAGAGAGCAATGATTACTGAAAGTGGTGGACTTTCTGGTGGGAACAAAAGCTTCATCCCGTCCATATTTGGATTGAAGTGTAGGGGAGAATTGATCAGAGAAATATTTTCAGACACGCTTTGGTAGGGGAGAATAAATGGGCTGAATTTGTTTTTATAAAAGCCTAAATTAGCCCAATTGTAAATTTGTTTGGTTAATTATATTTGAAATATACAGAATTCTTAGGTGAAAAATATGAACAAACTAGGTTCAATCTATTTAAATTGTGTCTTCCTTACATTACATTTATTTGCTTCAGTTCATGACTATTGTATCTTGGAACTTATGAATTACTAGTCGGTTGCCCGCGCTACGCGCGGGAGTTTATTATGTTGTTTATGAGTAATTGGTTCGTATTTTATTTCCTACTTATTTTTTTCACTATACCATACTTTACTTTTTTAAAACTTAAATTGTGTTTGTATAGAAAAACTATTGAGTGATGACAAAAAAAAAAATAGAAAAACTATTGAGTTTTAGCTTCATTAGTCGTTGAGAAATTAAGTGTGTATAGTATAAGTCGAAGTGTGGGCGTAAATGGAAGTGCGGTTGAGAATCATTGAGAAACGTGTGCTAATAGGGTTTTTACCAAATATAGATCTAGATGTTAATATTTTGGGCCATTTTATATGTTGGCATGAAATTTGAACATGATTTGTGGGTTTCGGGCGGATTGTTGTATTTTTAATTGTTTACATTATCTCTTTATATATTGTCATAATTTATTATTTTTTGTTTTACGTTTTTTTTTTGGATTTGTCGTACTTTATATCTCGTAATGATCATTTATATACTATTATATATTTTTCTGATTTTATGTTTTATATATTTTTTGTTTTTCATATGGAACAATTTTTAAATTTAACATATTAGTATAATTTACTTTATATTTAGTTTATTTCATTTAATAATGTTTTATTTTAATTTTCAATTTTATGAAATATAGTCAATTTTTAATTTTGTTTATTAGTTTAACATATGTGTTGTATTGGAAACAAATAGTTAAATTCATATTGGAAACTTTTAAAGAAATATTATTTTTATTTTTCCCTTTTTATATGTTTATAAAAAATAAGAATTCATGTTTCGGTCCGACCTATCTCACTTATGTTAGAAACTTTTTGAGACATAAATTAGATAGATTTATATTCTCAAAATTTCTTACTTTTTGTTTTATTCCCGTTAAATCCTAGTATATTTATGTTTACATTGTGTAAATATAATCATATATATATATATATATATTAAACATTCACTAAAAACTATAATCTATTATTTATATATTTGTTAGTATAATCGATAATTAGTAAGTTTTTTTTAACTCTTAATCAATTATCTTTTTTACTTTTATAATGTATAATATAAAAAGACCTTTCATATTCATTTTGGAAAAACTTATTTACATAGGTTTAAATATTAAAATTAAATGATAAAATGGTATAATTAATTTTAAAAATTAAATAATAAAATGAGGTGGATGATGATGTGGCTTAAGGAGAAGAGAGAAAAAGTTAATTTTATATATATAGATTACTAAATGAGTGGCACATAGAGCTTTGGATATGAATGGTGTGAGTCTATTCTCATCTATACTATACCATTTTTTTTTTATTCTCACTACAAAGTTTAAAAAACAGCTCTGGTCCAACACATTAGCCGGTTTGCATCAATATAGACAAAATGATCTTTTATTAATTGAAACCTCACAAGATCATATACTGTTTGCATAATTGCATTAGATGAACATATTTTTTAAAAGCCAAAGATCATAATAAACTTCTTAACGATGTTATTGGTGAACATATGAAAATCTCTTTTCCCTAGGCCCTGAAAACATGAAGAGTTTTCTATGGTTCCAAAATAATTTCCACGAGTTTCTTAAGAGGAGCCATACAATGCTCATCAACCATCAATTGGTACTCCTGCATGTTGTGAAAAAGTGTGCATAGTCATTATACAAAATTTTGCCATCAACTACTTAAGTACATTCCTAAGAAATCAATAGAATCCAGAGAAAAGTCATCACAACTTACAGACATGAAGAGAATAAAATGCTGGAAGCAAGTGTTGAGATGAGCTTCTTCCTTGACATCCACAATTGAAAGAAAGTGAGTACGATAGATGTGTGCATACACATTAAACAACTTCCTCGAAATGCGCTTCACGATATCCTTAAAGTTTGGAGGAAACGGTTCTCCTGAATAGAAAAGACAGAAACAAGCATGTTACAAACTTAAAAACAACATATGATGTCAATTTAAACTATGAATTAACTTTGCAAAATAAGTACCTGATTTCTTTGGAAAGATAGTATCGTTATCGATATGAGTTCCAATCCAGTTCATGACAGACCCAATATACTCAGTGGCTGAACCCATTTTATGTCTTTGTCCAGTATTTACATCTACCCATTGACACTCATATCTGCAAAGTATAAGACCGATAAAGACCATAACTATACTATACTATCAATTCATCATGTACTCAAAAATATCAAGAATGAGAAAGATATTTACCTTCCAGCCTTCATTATTGGGCAAGTGGTGGGTGTGCATAAATTTTCAAAAGTAGCACACAAAAGTCTTACTTGTTTGTAGAAATCCATAGCTAAAAGAAAATTCACAAAAAAAAAAAAAATCAAATTAAGAAGAAATAAATAATCAAGTTTGGATAAGAATAGTTATGGATAATGATTTTTTTCTTAACTGTTCAAGGCCAACCACTCGTTAATGTCTTCACCAGGAGGTAGTTTCACGGCTTCTCTGAGATTGCTACCCTCAATAGTCACTGTTAGGAGCTCACGCATCTGAAAAACATCTTAACTTTTATTACAACTTTAAAACTTTTACAATGTCATTACAGAGCAGTAATGTAATCCCTATTGACCTTGCTTTGGGATAGATGCTCCATCTTCTTTGGTGGAATTGTCCTCTGAACATTGTTCATGTAAGACAAATAACTCTAAACTTAAGAACCAAACATATACAAAGTTATTACTCATACAAAGAACATAGAGGATGATAAAGAAAGGTATTGAATCTTTGCAAGATACCTGCTTTTCAAAACCAATAGATTCATGTCTGCAAATGGATCAAACGATTAAATCTGAAGCTTGCTCAACCTGAAAATCAAAGAAACTATCAAAATCATACTAGTATAACGTAAAATGTTTATCTTACAATATAAGGACTTGAATTCAAACGGAGTCTAATTAACTAACAAATTAAGAGGATTTTCTTTTGCTACTCTATTCATTACTTCAAAATTCAGATTCGAAATTTTACATATAAAAATATGTTAGTATAGGTATTTAGTTTTCAAGGCAAACTTTTATTATTCTTAGATTTCAAGGGTTAATGGATTAGTAAAAGTACCATATGGAAGAGTATTCATCCATCAAATCTCAAGTCAATTCCACAATTTTTTTTGACTGAAGCGATGAATTATTTGAGTGTGAAATGATTTAAGTTCACATTCAATGGCAGATCTAAGTGTGAGAGAAGATCTACCACTAAGGTGATTGAAATAGAAAAAGATGTATTACCTAAGTGATTGAAATAGAAAAAGATAAACAAAGATGAATCAACAGAGAAATGACGGAGATTACGATGATATAAAGATGATACACTCTATTTTCCAATTTCTTAATGTAACTTTTAGATCTACCATTGTTCACAATATTAGAGATACCAGATTTGATTTATTACATAAAAGTGTATATAACACCATTAAAGCATTTGAAACATCGAAAAAATTAGAAAACAAAGAAACGACAGCTATACAAATAATACAAAGTAAATCCGAAATTGGAAGATACGTCTGATTTCAGATATGTTCGATTCTGTGATATTTTTTCTCTAACTTTTAGATCTATCATGACTTACAAAATAAGATCAAATAAATCTGATTCGTAACAAAAACACTGTCTGTAATGTAAATAAGATGATTGTAGTACCTCGACTCGCGAATGAGAACCCTTTCCTCCTTAGACTTACGCAAACTTTTACTCTAGATTACTACCTCTGCTGTCAAGTTATATTTATATTGTAGCCTTGCAGGTCTAGTTACCCTATCTTTATCTAGAACATTGAGCTGTCAAAGAGTTACCACCATATATTTCACCAAGGACCCCACCAACTTTTTCTGGCTTGACTTTTCTCGTGTGTGAAAATCTATCCTATATATGAGATAAAAGTACAACAAATCACAGCCGTCCAATTGTCAAAAATTTGCAAATACACAAATTTACGAGATTACCCACTATATAAAACCCATGCCCCTTGTTCGATCGTTTGATAGTCCAATATATGGACTCACTACTTTTCCTTTTTCACTTTCTTTCTCTCGCACATTCATTCACTCTCCTTTATTTATATATTTTTTATATAAATTTTTTTTTATGCAAGTCTTTATGCGATATATAATGTAAAATTAACATCTCTATAGTGGTCAAGATTATAACATAAACAGTGTGTATGGTATTGATATCTCTGACCTTTTAGTTTCTACATATTTCTTACCTCCATTTCACTGCACAATCTGGTTTTATTCCAACAACAGTCACTAACTTTGTTCCCAAATTTTTAGATATATATAATTGTTACGTAATATATCTATTACTTAACATATTTTAAATAATTATGGGAGAAAAATTCTCGTAAATGCGGACGCGAATCTTTCATTGTTTTTTCATGTATTGACGCATCTTTTTGGGATTTACACTCCTTTTAACACGTGTTCGGCCACTAAGTGGAGACTCTTTCCGCTTCTCAGTTCTCACCTCTACCGAGACGTTCTTCCACCATTGTTATAAGAAACACACCCTCTTTTGTTCTTCATATCTTTACTCAAATGAACTTTATTTGTCCCAGTACTCGTTCATAGGAAGCCTTTATCTCTTCGTGTACCCATGCATGCACCTAACCATCTGCTGTCGCTGATCCCAATTTCCAATCTCTTTCAAGCATCTAGATGACAGAGAAGATGCGTGAACTATGCTTGATACCTATGGATGTTTAAATAGCTCTTCCATCCCCGATTGAATCTATTGAACACCACATAGTTGATTATTTCTGCGTCTACAAAGTTTATTTTCAGGGGGGGGGGGTGAATTATATTTTCCTCTTCCCGAAGTTCTATTTCGTTTTTGCATCTTCACAAGATTGCACTTTCTCAGTTACCCCAAATTTTCTCTGAGAAATATAGACTTTGCCTACCATCGAAGCTGAAGTGGGTTACACGCTCTCTATACGACCAAAATCTTTGAACTTTTTTATATTAAGGCCACATGTCATAGTTCCAAAATTTTATCCTCTTACCCTAATGTTGATTGAATAGTCGTGTCGGGGTTGCCAACTCGCGATGATAACTGGCACTGCTATTGGTTCCTGATAAAGTTCTCTCCCACTTCGCTCAATGGACTGGCTTCCTTGCTTCCTCTGGAGTGGAGATTGAGCACATGTTTGATCTTTCAATCTTTATCTCGCTTATTTATTAATTTGCTTTATCGTATAATTTTTATTTATTCCGGTTCTTTAGAACGACCTAGCCGCTCTATTCTTGCTGATGACTTTATCAGATTCTTTTCTAGATTGTTCGACATCGAACATTATTGGAATTCTATTATTATCAATCATATTCACCAAGCATGTGAAATTTTTAGGACTGAGGAAAAGAGGTCTGAGTCCCCATCCCTACAATTCACAAGAAGAAAGTCATGGAAAAGACCTTTCGAGGGCGGATTTCTACAAATTTTCAGGAGAAAAAGAAACTCTTCTCTTTATCCCTGAGATGACCTGCTGCAAGGTTCTATTGGTGGATGATGGGTCCAGAGACAGCTTTAAATAAGTGTCTGAACTTCCCCCACCCAACCTTGATGTTACTCAAACCCAAAGCGGTGGTCTTCATGAATCCCTAAGCATAGGCATAGAAAGAAAAATTCCTTAATCGACTTATCCTTTTAGTGTGATAAGAGAAAAGAATTGAGAAAAAATGCCACACTGTCCTGTCATAGGTCCTTTCACTATACTTCTTCCAATTGATATGAATTTTGATCAAAGCCAGTACACGATCGTTCCTCTTGCCCACACTGTTTGCAGCTGGATTAACCCATAACCGTTTTGAGTTTTAATTCTCGAAATTTCTTTGGAGATGTTACGAAGGGATGCTTGACGAGTTTCTGGTTTTTAGCAAAAGCTTGCTACTCCTCTTCTACTTACATCGAACTGTTGGCTATGAACAAGGCATCTTGTTCTGTTGCAGGTCGATTAACAATGAGTTCCTCTCGTAACCTAGATTCGGGCCACAATCCTTTTTTTGTAAGGTGGATAAGGCATCAACTTCGTTATTCATGGAATTGTAGCTAAGAGTTCCTTAAATTTTCCAATATGACTCTGGAAAGGTTCCTGCTATGACTAAGTTAGGTTCCCAGGTCACTACCGGATCTTCCTTGTGTAATGAGCATTGATTACTACATGAATAACATGGATGACATGTCCTTAAAGTTGTTGATTGATTCTAGATCTAACTACGTGAACCATAACAAGGCAAGTCTGAATAGGTTTTCCGAGAAAATCTTGCAATATCCCACATCCTCCTCATGGGGCTCCAAATTAGTTCGTCATGCAACATTTTAAACAGTTGTGAGATGACTCTTCGTATCAACTTTTCCATCATAAGTGGAAATGTTCACCCTGCGAGTGTCCCTTATCCAAAGATTTGAGATTTTTGGTACGAAAGGAGACCTCATGGTTTCTGCTATTACTTTATAAATGTAGGATGCACATCTGGTCACCTGGTGCACCTTCGACTTGATTTCCTTCAGGTGGAGATGTATCTTATCAAGATCGGATGCACGCTTTGGATCAGCTCCATTTTTATGTGTCCCGAATATCGAGAACCCGAGCCCACGATCTGTCCGGCCGAGGTCACCGTCCGTCCGTCCGCATTAATCAAAGAGCGACTTACCAAGGGTTAACAATTCGACTTCTAGGCATCATTGGACAACCAAGGAACATCAAGAGGAGCAACGCGAGGTCATCTCATGGACATCGTTACCGATCATCCATCCAACAAGCAAAACTTCAACCTTTCTCACCGAAGGTCCATAGAACGCATCACCATCGAAGGACCATCGAGTGCAACCAGCTTTGGGAAGCTTGATACGTGTGTCTTCACCACCACGCTCGAGTGTAGAACCAAAAGACTTTTAGGGATGTCTTCACTCGAGCGTGGTGGTGAAGACACACGTATCAAGCTTCCCAGAGCTGGTTGCATTCGATGGTCCTTTGATGGTGATGCGCTCCATGGACCTTCGGTGAGAAAGTTTGAAGCTTGGCTTGTTGGATGGATGATCGGTGAAGATGTGCATGAGATGACCTCGCCTTGCTCCTCTTGATGTTCCTTGATTGTCTAATGATGCCTTGAAGTCAAATTGTTAACCCCGGGTAAGTCGCTCTTTGATGGATGCGGACGGATGGACGGTGACCTTGGCCGGACGGATCGTGGCATCGGGTTGTCGATTTCCATGGACACATCAATTTGGGTCATCTCTGGCAAACCATCCATTAGATCCGACATCCTTACACTTCTTTGATTAGAAGAGGGGTTTCCCTATTATAAGCTGTTACTGGAGGATGATTGGTCGCTTCTGTTCCATTTGTTGCATTGCTTACTGCCACTGAATTGTCAATTTTAGTGGAAATTGTTGAATAATTGTCGTTGAGGGTACTCGAAGTGGCTTGAAGATTAGTCATTTCCTCATGATTTGCAATGATATTGCCTCTCAAGTTGGTTACTGTATCCGTGAGTGCTTGAACCGAGGATGTGAAAATTAAATCAAAGAACTTTTCGCGGGGTAATTCTTAGACTTTCGTCCCCATAGACAGTATCAAATTGTGCGACTCAAATCCCACACCCTTGACTATGAGTGGTGAAGGACTAAATTTATTTCTGAAACAAAATACAAAGAATTTAACACGGGAAACCTTATGAGAAAGACAAAGAAATTGCTAAAGGAAATCTGTATTTTAAAAAATATATTAACCTATATTTATACTCATAATGGTGTTTAATACAAAACAAATACAATTAAACTCTAGTTAATGAATTTATTTTGATTCTACATTAATTACGTAATGGTTTCCTTTAATTCAAATTATTCCTCTTTAAATGTCTTTTTTAATTCTCGTTCCAAGATTATGTACTTTTCTCCGTGCTGGCTAATACTTCTTTCTTTCATCATGTTATTCTCCTTCTCGGTTGATCAATCGATCTCGCTGATTTCTTTTCATCTCGTGGAGTACGCTTCATGTTCTTCTAATAATGGTCCTTCAAGGTAAAGCTCATACCCAAATAAGGAGGGGGTTTTGGCCCCAAAAATAAGTATTACAAAAAATGTTTAGTGAGGCAAATTGTAACGCCCGTCTCCGGTTGTTCTTGGATGGTATATGTGTAAGTTTATCGAAGGATTTGTCTATGGTCGAGAAAATGTTGATGTAATCGAAGGTTATTAAGAAGATTGGAATGGACAGTTGGGAATCCGAATGTTCGGTGAGGAATGAAGTATTGTTCGGTTGGTTCGGACAAGATGGGTCTTTCGGACAGGTTTTGTCGGAAGATTATCTATTATGCGGATTTATCGGACATTTGTCTGGTTCAGACAGTTTTGGTTGAGACTCTATCGATGGAATGTTAGTCCGTGGGCTTTCTATCGGCCCAAACTCGTCAGGCCGCGAGTGGTGTTTCGGAAGATCGATAGAAAATGATATTATTCGACAAAGTGTTGGAATATGCAAATATTCTCAAGAGAAATATCGGAGGATCGACTGTTTACTCGATAGTATAAAAGAATGATCGAGAGAGCTAGGGTTTTTCATGCATTATCTTGCATTATGAGCGCCGTCAAGGCAGTGATCGAGAAAGAAGAGAAAAAGAGTGAGAGTTATTGAGAGTATTGTTATGATGATCGAGATCTTGTATTCATGGATCGAGATCAACGATTATGGCAGATGACGAATCCGGTGGAACGTATGCAATCGATTAGGTTGACAAAATGA